CATCAGAGCCACCAGGGAAGCCACCAGGTTTTTGCATTTCCTGGGGATGAACCTCAGGCACTCTCTGTGTTCTACCTGGTGTTCATCCATCCCCGCAGCAGCTTCCGATGAGGATCCCTGGTCCACTTCTCTCAACTCAGCGCCCTTCTCTCCCCTTCCTCCCAGCTCTGGCCTCCATCCTCTCCACAGCTCCCATCTCCAGAACCATTCCTGTAGCCCTTCCTTTCATTAGTTTTGGATTGACATTTAGCATTCTAATGATTATACCTTAACGAAGGACTGATTAATTCCTTGAAAGTGAAGAGAAAGTGAAGTTGCTCAGTCATATCCAACTCTTTGTGAACTCATGGACTGTAGCCTACCAGGCTCCTCAGCCCATGGGATTTTCCAGGCAAGAATACTGGAGTGGGTTGTCATTTTAGTTAAAATTTTATTCTATAGCTTCTCGCCTTATCAGAAAAATGACACTGCCTCCTGCCTCTGCTTTTATGGGTCTCTGCTACTGTTTCAGGAGGATGAGTGTATCTTTAGAACAGAAAGAGAGCATTTTCTTTGTGCATCAACTAGGAACCACTGGCCTAGTTGATGTGTGTGCTGGCCTCTCACATTTGGACAAAGGCTCTTGATTCCATTTGAATGTAGGGATGGTCACACGATGTGTTTAATCATCACATTTTTATGGCTTTCTAGTGATTCATTCTGCATAGAAAGGGTTCTCAGCTATTTTCTATGATTTGGTACTGGGCTTAGTGAAGGGTGTGGACCACCATGGTAGAAGCAGGGACTAAGTGATAAGGGAGGTTTGCCAAGGCTCCTTCACATTAGGTGACAATTGACTTCCTCAATGTCATCCTACGAGCTAGAATCGGAGGCCATGACAGCACCATACATTTCCCACTTCATGGCTTCTGGAAGCAGCCTCTGTGTTCCTGGAAATGATGCTGGCTTTAGCACATATCTCACCAGGACTGCCAGGAACAGCTGTCAGCACCACCTTCAGTATCTCAGTGATCCAAGCAAGATAGTATCAACTCCCATAGACTCCAGTAAATATCTATTATTGCACAAGAAATGCCTGACTCTAACTTGTTGCAGTGATTTCCTCCCTGGGTATGATGGTCACTTGACAGAACATCCGAATTACCTGTACTTCATGTAAAGATTTATTGCTCAAATCCAAAGCATTTCCTTGAATGTTGATTTATAATATTATTTCATTTATATGTATGTGATTGTTTGAAAATATTTTCTAAAATTGCTGACATACTTGAGTTTTGCTTTAGCTAATTAAGATCATCCAGCAGTTTAGGCAGGGGAGTGTGAGGGGCTCCCCATCCGCCCTCAAGCAGCATGTTGGATTCCTAGGACGGATGCCACGGTGTACCTGAACCTGAGGCTTAAAACCACTGGTACTCATTCTCCCTCGCTTCTGAAGGCCTGCGGTCTAAAATCAATGTGTTCTCAGCACACACTTTCTCTGGAGGCTCTAGTGGAGAAAGCTTTGCCTCTTCCAGGCTCGGTGGTTCCTAGAGTTCCTGGGCTTGTGTGTCTATCTTTACATGACTCTCTTCTCTGAACGTCTCTTCTCTTCTGAGGATCCTAGTCATTGGGTTAGGATCCACTCTGAGTCAGTATGATCTTGTGTTAAGTAGTTATGTCTGTGACTTATTCCCAAATAAGGTCACAACCTATAATTAGACATGAATTTTCTTATGTGGAAGTGGGAAGTTTTCTTCAGTCCAGCACAATGAGCAATCCTATAAGCCAAACTAAAAACTTGTATGAGTTTGGAGGGAAGTCATGGAGGTATTTTTGGTGTGTATTATTCAATTAACGCATAAAATATATTTCAAAAATCCTGCCATAAACATTTTTTCCTATGATAGATAGACTCTTCATTTAGTGGTGGTGGTGGCTTAATCATTAAGTTTGGTCTGACTCTTGCGACGCCATGAACTGCAGCCCGCCAGGCTCTTCTGTCCATGTGATTTTCCAGGCAAGAATACTGGAGTGGGCTGCCATTTCTTTCTCCAATTCTCCATTTAGTTTATCTCTAAAAATGTTTAATGATTCTTAAAAAGAATGAAATTATGCCGTTAGCAGCAACATGAATGGACCTAGAGATTATCACATTGGGTGACGTAAGGCAGACTAGGAGAAATATTGGATGACACCTCATATGCAGAACCTAAAAGAGACAATACAGATAATCTTATTTACAAAAGAGAAACAGACTCAGACTTAGAGAACAAACTTATGGTCCCAGGTGGGAAGGTGTAGGAAGGGACAGTCAGAGAGTTTGGGAGAGAGGTACACAGCTGACTGTTACTTCACAGCACAGAGACTCTACTCACTGTTGCCTGGCAGCCTGGATGGGAGGGGGGTTTGGGGGAGAATGGAAACATGTACATGTATGGCTGAGTCCCTTCGCTGTTCACCTGTGTCTATCACAACGTTGTTTATTGGTTATACCACAATAAAAAATAAAAAGTTTTAAAAAATGTTATTTTAATAGCAGTTTAAAAACTGCTATTAACAAAGTTCAATATTCTGTGTTAGATGCAGAACAAGTAAATGTTTAGGAGTATACATTTTTATCATAAATGAAAAGCAGAGAGAAATTATGCTTTTAAAGTGTTAGTTGCTCAGTCGTGTCTGACTCTTGCAACCTGATGGACTGTAGGTTGCCAGGCTCCTCTGTCCATGGAGTTCTCGAGGCAAGAAGCCTGGAGTGGGTTGCCATCCCATTCTCCAGGGGATTTTCTCTATCTAGGGATCAATCCCGAGTCTCCTGTATTGCGGGCAGATTCTTCACCATCTGAACTTCCACAGAAGACCTAATTAAGCTCTGATTCATCTCACTAACAGATGATATTGGAGTAAAATATTAGCTTTCATGTTTAGTAATTGTTTATCTTTTTTTGGTATTTTTTGTTTTTGTTTCCCATGATCATATTGCTCTAAGTGTTTCAAAGGTCTCTTTTGTATTGAGATGTAAGCACATTTACTCTTGTCACATAGGCGAAGTGACGTAACATGCACGCTTTCTGTTCAGCTGCTTTTTCTGCACAGTGTAGTGTGTAGTTTTATCTATGTCGCTGTAGGAATCAGAGATCTCTAGCCTTTTGTTTCTATAAAAGTTCTGATAAAAGCTTGGGGTTTTGCCAGCTTTTCAGCCATTATGAATAAAACTTCAACGAACATTTGTATGCTAGTCCTTTTGTGGTGGTTGTATTCGCATCTGTTGGATAAAATCAAGCCATGGAATTACTAGATTGTCTGGTCTCTATACATTTGACTTTATGAGAAAGTACCAATATGAGTATCTTGCACACTTGAGAAAGACTTTCTCTAGAAGGGCATTGCTCAGCCACGGAGATTTTAAAGTTTTCTGGAGGAACATCACCTAGATAGCAGTGTTAGGAGACTCTAGCATCCTGTCCCCCAATAGATCAAGAATAGACAACTCTTCTTGAACAAAAACAGCTCACAAAGAAGAAATGGTAATGATGTGATGTGGCAGAGGTATCAGTGTGAGCTGGGATGGTGATCACTTTGCAGAAAATAAGTGGGTCAGATCCACATGTTGTCCACCTTCTTCTTGCTCAATGTTACAGATCAATTATATCTTAATAAAGATGGAAAAATTAAAATTTCAAAACAGTTTTCTGAAGTGGTTGCAGCTTTTGTATCCCTACCAGATGTATAGGAGAGTTCTGACTGATCCACGTTCTCTCCACGTGGGGTTTGAACAGTCATTTTAGCTTTGGCCAACCCAATGGGGACAAGGTGGTATCCTGGGGAGAGGTATTTGTATGAACATTCTTCATTAAACTTCTGTTATCTTTATTTTTATTTTTTAAACCACATAAAATATTGATGTTCACTATGTTCCATTCAAAAATAACCTTATTGATGTATGACCTATGTAGAAAGTGCTGTACATGTTTAATGTATACAACTTCATGAGTTTTGAGATGAGCATACATCTGTGACACTATCACTCCAATCTATGTAGTAAACATATCTGTTACCTCCCAAAGATTCCTCCTGCTCTAAGGAGAGCTATGTTTTAGGAAATAAAAACTGTTAATACTTGACATTTAACTATTTGAGTATTTCAGAGTCATGTGTAGGCCTGCCCTTCTTACTATATACTCCCCCAGTCTGATCCTATCTTTGCCTTCAGCTACAATTACCATAGTTCTCTCAGTAACTATTATATATTATTGGTATTGTCTGCCTTACCTTTAGAGATTCAGTTCGTATCCCATCTCTGAGTTCTAGACTCTTATATTTAAGTTCTTAGCATAGGTTATAAAGCCTTTCACATTCTGGTAACAGTCCACCTCTTCAACCTCATCATGCTCTACTATTTTGAATTTTTATATATGATAATATTTTTCTAAATTATCTTTCTATGTGTGGTGGTTCACTTACATGTTGTTGATAAGGAAAACAAAGGAAAAGCAAAGAATGGCATGAATAAATCATTGTTTTATTGATAATGCATTTCACAAAATCAAAAACTCCAGACATGTAAGTGTCCCACATACCACCTAAGTTCAAACAAATGTGAGTGCCTAGGTGAAGAGTATATATGGCTTACAGTGTATATAATAGAGTATATGTAGTTTTTGAAGCAAGAGCTATGATATTTCAAGGTTAGTAGAAGATAGAGTGTAGAAGTAATCTTTTTTTATTAACTTATTTTAATTGGAAGCGAATTAGTTTGCAATATTGTGGTGGGTTTTGCCATACATTGACATGAATCAGCTCATCTTTTACAATATATTGAACATTTTGTGCAAAGAGGCGTTATCACGGGGAGATAGAGTCAGTTTACATGTGTTTGTAGAAGTAGAGAGATACACAGACGTAGCATTCATATTTCCACCAGTACATGCTCAGTGGTGGCTGTGAGATTGGAAAGGAAAATGAATACAAGGGAACCTTTTACACCAGCATTCAAGCTCCTGAAACAGATCTGTGTTTGTCCCCGCGTGTGGCCGCTGGCCAAGGACATCTAAGGGGAAGAGACTCGGCCACAGAAGAGGATGCTGTTGGTCTTGATGTGCTTGATGAGGAACAGGAAAGGGTGATTGCAGCGGAAGCTCTCATGAAACGGTGCTGATGTGACACCAACACTCACACCGGTAGCAGCTGCGGCCTCCGTGCCCTCCTCGGTCACCTCCACAAAGGACTTGTGGACGACCGTCGACACCACCAGATCACGTCTCCCAGTCATGCCCGAGAAATCAGCCACCCCATCACGGAAGGCGTCCACCATCCCCAGGGCTTGCAGTGTGGGCACGAGGTCATAGCTGTCTTCCACTTTAAACCGAGGCAGGTATAAATCCACTTGTCTCTTCCCCATGTTCTGTGGGCTCGTCCACTCTATTAGGTTCTCAGCAGTGAGCTGGTCTTCAACCTGTAACAGTGGGAAGGGAGCAACTGTCAGGGTCCTCAGTGGTCATGGAGCCGCCTACCTCGGACGGAAGTGTATGGAAAACCTTTATGTTAACAGTGAACATGAATACAGGAGATTCAGTATATTAGATTTTCTCTAAGGAGGAAAAAATAAGAGAGTCCTGAATATATATCATATGATCAAATAAATGTTTTTATATATTCATAACTTTGCTATTTTTATGCATGTATGCACACACATATATATGCATATATAGAAATGTCTATACAAATGTATAGATGTGTATGTATATGAACATGCACACATTAATGAAAGAGCATTCGTTTAATGTGAAAGTCATGTCTGACTCTTTTTATTACCCCATGGTCTGTATCCCTCTAGGCTCCTCTGTCCATGGGATTTCCGAGGCAGAAATACTGGAGTGGGTTGTCATTTCCTCCTCCAGTGGATCTTCCTGACCCAGGGATTGAACCCATGTCTCCTGTGGCTCCTGCATTGTAGGCAGATTCTTTACCATTGAGCCACAGGTATTTAAGATATTGATGCTATTTTTTTGTTGTTGTTCTATGCTGCCAGCCAGTATCACCAATCTATGACCAGCCCGCACAAGCATTGTATCACTAGAAATTTAAGCAATAGCATGAAGCACTGTAAGTACCAGGTATTACCTTCTGCAGACCATCTACTTCATTGGGCAGCAGCACCATCATGCTTAGCTCTTCGCCTTTGTACGGGATTTCCAGGATCTTGGCTTGCACGTCCTCCAGTGACACGAAATTGAAATGATTGGTTTGTTTCATCATCTGCACAGATTTACTCGTATCCTGCAATAGATTCGTGTGCAAAAAGAATGCCAAGTGAGCATTAGTCCAAAAAAAAGATAATCTTATTGAGATACCAAACTCAGCCTCCTAAGAGATGATCTGGGAAATCTGTGTCTTAGAGATAAGAGTTTCTTCAAGGAATCCCACATAAATAAAGTTCAAAAAAGGACAAGAAAATAAGCCTTGACAAATTCTATCTTATATATGCAGTTATATATTAATTACTATGTATTTAAATTTCACAGTGCATGTGTAGCTACACTTTGTTATATACATAAATTACAGGCAATACCTTGTTCAGCCAAAATTTTTCCTCCACAGTACTTTCTTTGTTAAATTTCTGGTTCCACTGCCCTTTGAAATAGACGGCGTTCACCAGAACCAGAACAGTAGAGCTGTTGAGAGAGTCTTTAGGAAACAGGTCCTTGATTTTTTCTGCAAAGACAGAAAATCAAAGGTCTGTCATGAAAGGCATGAGTGGTTTGTCTGTCAGATGCTTTGAAAGTTACAAGCGATGATGAAGTATTCACACAAGTCAGCCCGCGAGGGACTCCATGTCCAGCGGTCCACCAGGTGAGGCTTTGCTCACGGCCCCGGCCTGATGGAGACGGCCCTGCTCCTGACTGGGAAGGTGTTCAGTCTGTGTGTGTGGGGACATCAGTCACCTCACAAGGAACCCTCATGAACTGATTTCTGATACGTAAGATGCCATGCTGTGCTGTCTCTTCAGTCATGTCCGACTGTGAGCCCACGGAGTGCACCCTGCCAGGCTCCTCTGTTCAGGGGATTCTCTAGGCAGGAATACTGGAGTGGGTTGCCCCCCTCCAGGGGCTCTTCCTGACCCAGGAATTCTGGGTCATCAATTCTGACAATACCTTGTGCATCAGAACTGGTTTCAGCTGATCTTTACTGGTCAGTTTTCTTCCTTCCCTTTCCTCCCTTCCTGTTCCCTCAATAGCTTTGTCTCTTGTTTCCATTCCCTGTCTTCTTCTTCATTCTGCACATGGAGTTGCCGTAGGTTAAGCCTATACTTCGGAAGGGAGGTAGGATGTGGTTCATGGGATGGAGACGTTGTCCAGCCCCCTCCCCAGGTGGGGAGGACACCTGTGACATCCTGTGGGAGGGGGACGTGGGCCAGGAGCCTCCTCCTTCAGGTGGTCATTTCTGCAAGAAGGATGGTTTAAAGGAGAGTGGCTTGTTTCCCAGTTAAGAAAGCAAAGGTGGACTCTGCACATTTTCTCTTAGGGATTATAATCCAGAAGTTAAGCCTTCAATTTAAAGAAAAACTTACAAATCAATCTGAAGTCTGAGTAGAGACTTGGGATCCACAAAGACACTGTCATCCAGACTCAGCTGTGCCTGCAGGGGGCTGGTCCTGGGAGCCCCCCGCCCGCTTCTCTCCTCACTGACGTGGACCGTCCACCCCCTGCAGGCCTCCCCACCCTCTGCAGTCTCGTCTCACCCCGCTCCCGGCAGCCCCGTCAGGGTCCAGCACTGTGCTCACACACAGCGGGGACTCAGCAGTGACTCTCTCATAACCTACCATTGGTTTGGCTCTCCACCCAGGAGTTAATCAGCTTTCGACTTTCCTCTGCAGCATTTTTAAAATCAGCAGATACCACACTGGCTAGATAAAATTTCTTAACATTATCCATGTATTCCTATGACATGAGCAGGAAGAAAGGAGGAATGAAAAGTAATTTACCAGTAACTATGTTCTGTTCAGTTCGTTCAGTTCATTCGCTCAGTCGTGTCCGACTCTTTGTGACCCCATGCAACGCAGCACGCCATGCCTCCTTGTCCATCACCAACTCCTGGAGTTTACTCAAACTCATGTCCATCGAGTCGGTGATGCCATCCAGCCATCCCATCCTCTGTCGTCCCCTTCTCCTCTTGCCCCCAATCCCTCCCAGCATCAGAGTCTTTTCCAATGAGTCAACTCTTCTTATGAGGTGGCCAAAGTATTGGAGTTTCAGCTTCAGCATCAGTACTTCCAATGAACACCCAAGGACAGATCTCCTTTAGAATGGACTGGTTGTAGGTATTCCCAAATTAAATTAAATGTGTTCAATCCTGATTAAGCAGAGTTCATAAGTCAATGCCTAGCCCCGCCCTCACTGGTGTGCTGTCAGCCTCTGGACACTCAGCGGGCGGGGTTGTGGTCGGGGAGCCCGGCGCCCCTGAGAGTAATGCCCCCGTGTGGGTCCCCAGGCTCCTCTGCACCCGCTCCCCTCCCCATTAGGAGATGAGGCCCGAGGAGCTGAGATGCAGACTAAAGGTGTGACAGACCAGGAAACTCACCTGGAGAAATGGAAACTCCTTTTCTCCATAGAGCCTGTTGGCGACACTCAGCTCATAGGCATCAGTGGATTTCTTTAATTCCATCAGAAGCTTTTGAAAGTGATGATGAACATTTCCTGGCTTTTCAACCTTCAAACATCAAAAAGTGAGCACACTGGATTCTCTAACACTATAAGTACTGCACCCACATAAGTCTGCTTGATCAGTACCTAGATTTTGGTATTTCTGTGGATGACTGTTGTTCTTTCCTCGTATTTGGTGTATTTTACTGGAAATATACTTCATAAACTTACATTCAATCTTTCAGGTAATTCTTTCNAATAATAATAAAATACATAATGTATATCAGAGTTTTCATTTTCCTGGCACTGCTATTCTGTTTCACATGGATTTGCATGTATTGCAGCAGACATTTTATGGTCCCCAGTTAATTGGGATGACGTCACTGTGGCTCAGAGCAGTTGTATTTTCCACATTTTTCCTTCCTGAACAGCAGAGCACAATTTGAAGCTCCTTTGGGTTTCAGAGCCCTTACTGTGAAGCACATGCTACTCTCCTCTCAGGATAACAAAGATGTGAAGTACATATGTAACATGAAATGAGCAACAACTCTGTCCACTGTATTTCACTTAAGATGTCCCCTAAAGATGGACTTTTCCCACTTTGTCTGAAATTCCCAGTTTAAACTATGACCCTGTTGGATACATGACCTTCTAAATCCAGTGCTCTGTGACTCACGCGATCATTTGTGGCTCCTCTTGTGTTCTCTGTGATTTTACTGAAGTGAAGGACCTGGAGGAGACAGATAGTGGGGCAAAGAAGTGTTACCCTATATATATCTGTGTGCATCACAGTCAATAAAAAAAGAAAGAAAAAAGTCAGGAAGAAGAAAGAAAATTCAAACCAAGTACCAAACCAAACAAAAAAACCCAAACCATAGGGAACAAAGAAAAGAAGAAAGAAATATTTAGTGCAAACACTTGCCTCTTAAAAAACACAATCTGTGTGTGGAAAACATAAAGCTGCTTGATCGCTATCCACCTTAGAGAATCATGTCTTGTTTTTCATTCATCATTGAGGAAACATGTGAAGATGTTTCCATGGGAGCATGGGTTTTAGTCAGTGCCTCACTTCTTTCATTAAAGCCTCACCTCTGGCTGTTGGGCGATTGTAGGGGGTCATCCCAGCCCCCAGAGGAAGTCCGGGCACAGGAAGGCGGTGGGGAGCCCTGCGGGAGAGTGTGTGCCCCTCCCTGTGCCCACCCAGTCGTGGGGCTGCTTGAGCTTCCCGTGGGACCCCCGGGGACAGCCAGACCTGTGGTCATCTGCACTCCAGCCAGCAGACAAACCATGCAAACCTGTGACGGAGAGGCAGCTGCCACCTACCTTCTGCATTTCTGATGCGGTGTTTTCTCGGGCCCCTAAGTAAGTCATGGCTAAGGCTGACGAGATACTGAAAGGGGACAGGAAGATGTTTTCCTTCTCTGATTTTCTGATCTGGTGGAACAGATCGATTGCAAGGTGGATGATTGCTTCACCGAGGGAACTCATGGTGGCCGGATGTGGTCTGGAAGTCCTGGAAGAGCATCGGATGCATTTTATAGTCACTCTAGTGAAGGAAGGCTAGTGTGTAATGAGAACTTCTAAAAGAAATGCCTTATGTGTGGGTTGTGGATTTCCGGCAACTAAGATTTTTCCTTTGTATACCTATAGTAATTAGAAGACTTTTGAAATTAGGAATACTGGAGTGGGTTGCTATGCCTTCCCTCAGGGGACCTTCCCCACCCAGGGACTGAACCCACATCTCTTACAGCTCCTAGAGTTGTAGACTTTCTGTCTTCCTACCACGGGTGCCACCTGGGAAGCCTTATTTATAGAAAATTTTTCTTAAATATAATAGAAACTTTATGTTATACATTTCATAGCAAGGAGATGTACCTGTATCCATCTGATAATTAGATGACTACTGAAGAAAAATTTTCTAACAAATAATAGAAGTATCTTTACTGTTCCTTCCTTAATGACTGTACAGAGTGGGTAAAAAATGCGTTATAACAGATGTGTTGTTGTTGTTGTTCAGTTGCTAAGTAGTGTCCAAGTCTTTCCACTCCATGGACAAGCTCCTCTTTCCTCCACTCCCTCCCAGAGTTTGTTCAAATTCATATTCATTGAGTCCGTGATGCTGTAGAACCATCCCATCCTCTGCTGCCCCCTTTTCTTTTTCCTTTCAATTTTTCCCAGCCTCCACGTCTTTCCCACTGAGTTTATAACAGATTCGAAGGCAAAACTGATGTGGTAACATCCAGCCATTTCCCATCAGGTATCTCCCTGCCTTACTTGAAGGATCTGTGGATGCTGGACAGCCTACCCCTGATACACGTGCTCCCACAGGAGTGTGGGTTTTCTTTTAGAAAGAAGTAAATTACCTATGGATTAAATCAGGAGAAAAAGTTCTTTTACTCTGGCAGAATAAGTAAAATACCATCATACCAAATGAGATATTTAATACATGCATGATAAAACTTCACATTCATTATAATTTTCAGAAAGGATTCCTGTAGGTATGCAGAGCTGCTAGAAGCACTTACCTGTGTTCCTGGAGGAAGCAGAGGTGGTGTGCCAGGCGTGATCAGCCCTGAATATATAGCTCTACCAGCCGCCTCCCGTGCCTCAAAGCAGCTGGTATTTCAAGTAGATCAACTCTTGATTTCTTCACCAGTTATCTTCAACTTCATGAGCAAGAAGTCTCTATGAAGAAAGACAAGGTTATTGACCAACTCCTGTACGTCGTTTTCTTCTGCAGAAGAAATTGTGACCTACCATCCCTGGCTCATATGAAATGCATGTATGTGCCTTTCTGACAGCAATGACGGTACACTTATGTTTCAACTTCTTCACATGCCCTTAGCAACTAGGCCCAGCCAGAAATGACCCTTAAAAATCTTTCTTCTCTTGTTAATTCATGTTGACTCCAATTTAAGACCACTTCTAACACAAACAATTGAAAAGCTGACATTGTTTGAAGTTCTGAAAAGGCTTGTTTCTTTAAAAATATTCTGTATACCCGGGAAAATAGCTCAACGTCTCAGTTTAAGAGGGATTGGCAAAGTGTGTCAGCTGTAGGTGGAGACCAGGTATGAGTTGCCTCCCCTCGAGGTTGGACCCTGGCGCGGCTCTCCCCGTGACCCCATTGTCCTTGCAGTTAATCCCAGCTGTACCCTGATTTCTGTGGTCAGAGGGCAGCTCATTCACTTGCTCTCAGTGAGAACAAGGGATACAAATGGGACCCATTTTAAGGGTAGTTTTCTAATGTTTTAGTATGAAGATTTCTCAGAAAAGTAAATAGCTTGAGCTCCAGAATTATAACATTCTCAATCATCCTGATCTGCAGCACACCCACTTCTGATCATGACCAGAACAACAAAGTCAAATGTCTGTAAGGAAAAAAAAAGAAAAAAATGTGTTCTTTGAATGGCATGGTTGAGTCTCATCACTGCAGTCTCATCTCTTCAAGCATCTGGGGTTCCTGTAATAGAATAATATTAAAAACTACTGACTATTTACTGAGGGGGTTTTGTACTCACCCATTTTCTGCTTTAACACCATATTTATGTTGGTGAGTTTGTTTCCCCCATTTCACAGATAACAGAAATGAGCCACAGAGTGACTGAACAGAAGCCCAGGTGTCTAAGAGGGTGAATTGCCCAGGTGAGCTCTCCAGGCAGGTAGCTGGTTCCAGGAGGCTGCGTGTGTATCCACTTCCCACAGGGAGGTGTAGACAGACTCTGGGCCTTTACCGACAAATCTCCTTGTGTTTGGATGAAAAGAACCTGTGTCCTCTGCCCTTTCAGAAGAGATCATGTTCTCCCACAAAATCTGAAGGCGTGGGAACGGGTCCCTAAATTCTCCTCCAGGGACGCCATAGTCATTACGGAGGAAGGCAGGGTATCAGACACTATTTGAGGGTTGTGTAAAATTTAGCAATTTCATTGTGGACGTGTGTTTTAATTTCTTAGTCGTATACTTAAGAACGTAATGTGTGGGTCAACCGTAAGTTTACATTTGATCGATTGATTAGTCGATTTTACTCTATGATTGATTTAGAAGAACTGCCAGACTGCCTTCCCCAGCAGCTCACCGTTTTGCTTTCCCACCAGGCTAGGAGAAAGCACGCGTGTGTGAGCGGCCAATTCTCTCCTCACCCCGCACTCGGTACTGAGCTTGGTCGGAGTCTGCAGTCCCAGCACGTCACTCACTCACAGGAAGACCCGCCCACCCCAGGGTCCCGGAAGCACAGGGATGGAGACACGAGCTGGGGGAAGGGGAGGCCTGGGTGTCTAAACCGCAGAGACGGTTCCTGAGCTCAGCCCTGCTGCTCTTAGGCCTCCTCCTGGTTACGTGTGTCCTGACCCCCGGACACTGGCGGTCAGAGACCCCTGAGCTGAGACGGGTGGGCTGAGCGGGAGTGGAGTCTGCTGGAGTCTGATGGGGGAGCTGAGTCTAAAGAAGAAGGAAAGAGCAGGAGAGAAGACCCAGGGTGAAAAACGACAGACACGAGGAATGAGAGCGCCCAGTCAAGGCTGCGTCACGGGCGCTGCCAGAGAACGGGAGCGCCCCGGGGCCGGAGCAGGGTGGACGTCTTCGGGCTCAAAGAGAAAGGCCTCTGAGCCCAGAGACAGAAGCAAGGAGCCCCGGCTGGGCCTGGAGGAAGCCCAGGGGACAGAGCAGGAGACGAGGACTCAAGGGAACCACTGACTGAGCGGATTCCTCCTGTGACTGAGTTACCGAGGCTGGTGGTGCAGAGGCTGGCTTTGAGGGCAAGGCACTAACTGATGAAGATCAAGATTTTGTTTTGGAGGAGGAAATGGCAACCCACTCCAGTATTCTTGCCTGGGAGATCCCATGGACGGAGGAGTCTGTCGGGCAACAGTCAGTTCAGAGGGTGGCAAAGGGTGGGACACGACTGGGCATATATGCAAAACAGGATTTTGCTTAAATTTAGAATGAACTTGGTTAGTTCAAACAAGAAACCATATCACAGCTTTCTCCCCCTCCTTTTGAAAAGTGCTCCCGGCATGTATTAGACAAGGTGAAGACACGGTGATGTCACACAGTCACAGGACACTCAGCAATTCTTAGACCATTTTGCAAGTCAGTACTTGCCAACCTGTCTTTGGGTATTTTCTAAATTTACCAACATCATTGGCATCATGAATCCCAGAATCCAGTAAAACAGAGAGGAAATGACATGTCCGGGAACCACCCCGCTGTCTCTAATGCCTGTGTAGGCGGCTCCAAAATAGCTCCTCTGCCTTCTTACTGTTTTCTTCCTTCCTTGTGAAGGGCATGAAGACTCATCAGCTTTACTGAGGTGCATATCTTAGGGGGCATTTTATCTCTTCCTTCTTACTACGCACGTGGTTATACCCATCTGCAGGTAAATTGGTTACTTGAGAATGTCCTTGAAGCTTTCAATAATAGGATATCTGCCAATTACTCTTTTAATATTCCCTACAGATACAAATCTGTACAATGTAAATAGCATCTGAACAGGATGAGACAGATATACCTTAATTTCCCTTAGTTGGGGAATGGTCTTGTCTGTAGGTATGTCATGGAAGACTGAGACAGTTCATTCATCACTACCCGTCTCCCCATTCCTATGCCTCCAGTTCCACTCAGGACAGTCATTCTACTCTATGCTTAGTGCCATCCAACCCTCTCTCATAACTACTGTCTCTAGAACCATTTCTACAACCCTTCCTTTCAGCAGTTTTCGACTGACATTTAACATTCCAGTTATTTTGCGTGTGTTTGCTTAAGTCACTTCAGTCGTTTTCTACTCTTTGCAACCCCATGGACTGTAGCCCACCAGGCTCCTCCATCCATGGGATTCTCCAGGCAAGAATACTGGAGTGGGTTGCCATGCCTTCCTCCAGGGGACCTTCCCAACCCAGGGATTGAACCCGGGTCTCTTATGTCTCCTGTGTTGGCAAACTGGTTCTTTATCACCAGTTCCAACTGGGAAGCCCCTTGAATTGATTAATGTTATATATTAAGGAAGGACTGAGTAAGTCCTTAGTAACAATTTTATTTTATAACTTCTTATCATATCAGAAAAATCACACTGCCTCCCAGATTTGCTTTTATGGGTCTCTTAATTTTTTGGTAGAATGAAGAAAGAGAGAGCCTTTGCTTCGTGCATCAGCTAGAAGCCACTGACTCATGGCCTCTTTCATTTGAAGGAAGACTCTTGATTCCATTTGAATGTAGGGGTGATCACATAATGTGTTTGATTATCTATTTTTAAAATTTCTTAATGATTCATTTTCCATTCATTGAGTTCTTAGTTGTGTTCTATGACTTACTACTGAGCTTAGTGAAGGATCTCTATCACAGTGCTAGAAGCAGGGACTTAATGAGAAGGGAGGTTTGCCAAGGATCCTTTACATTTGGTGACAACTGACTTCCTAAGCCTCATCCTCTGAGACAAACTCTGAGACCATGATAGCACCATCCATTTCCCACCTTGTGACTTCTGCCACAAGCCTCTGTGTTCGCTTAAATGATTCTGGCTTTAGCACATATCTCACCAGGACTGCCAGGGACAGCTGTCATCAGCACCTTCAGTTTCTCAAGTGATCCAGGCAAGATAACATCAACTCCCATAGACTCCAGGAAATATCTATTATTGCACAAGAAACGCCTGACTATAACTCGTTCCAGTGATTTCCTCCCTGCATTTGATGACCACTTGACAAAGCATCCTAATTACCTGTACTTCAGGTAAAGATTTTTTCCTGAAATTCAGGGCATTTCATTGAATGTTGATTTACAATGTTGTTTTGATGAGGTTCATGTCCTTCTTTGAATGTATTTTTAATTGCTGAAGTGGTTGATTTTTTGCTCTAGTAAACTATAGCGACTTAACAGCTTAGGCTGGAGTGTGAGACGGGACTTCTCCTCTGCTCTCGAGGCACTGTGTTAGGTTCCTAAGACCTCTGTCCTGAGCTGCCCACACTGAGGTTTAAAAACACCGGTGTTTGTTCTCTCCCGCTTCTGAAGGCTTGAGGTGTAAAATCTCTGTTCTCAGGACTACACTTCCTCGGGAGGCTCTCGGGGAGAATTCTCTTTACCTTTTCTACCTCCTGGTGGTTCCTAGAGTTTCTGGGCTTGTGCCTCCGTCTCCACATGACTGTCTTCTCTGTGTCTCTTCTCTTCATATAAGTGTCCAGTGATTGGATTAGGACCCAGCTTGAATCAATACAATCTTATGTTAACTAGTTATGTCTATGATCTATTTACAAATAAGGTCACACTCTGGAATTAGAAATAAATTGGGGGGACGGGCAGAGGAAGTTCTCTTCATTCTGGTACAATCAGCAGTCCCATCAGCCAAACTGAACACTTGTAAGAGTTTGGAGAGAAGCCGTGGCAGTATTTTTCCATGAGTACGAGACATTTATCTGTATCCATGCGATCCTGAACCAGCCTGTGCAGCGCGGACACTGAGAGGTCCACCGACACGAGGCCATCCTCTTGGCGACTCCCTTGGAGCAGCGGGCCGGGCGGCGGCGTTGGAGCGGACACAGCGCTGGGCGGCGGGGCGCGCAGGAGGCGGGCTCAGCAGCCTCGCAGGGCCGGCCTGAGGGTGAGGGTGGCTGTGTCCTGGCTCCTGCGGTGCTTCTCCTCCCAGAACCCAGAGGGGTGAGGGAGAGATGCACTCTGGCTTGTTCTTGGTTTCGGGGCCACTTCTCATGGCAGCAGTTCAGAGCCCCAGGAGGTGAAATCCTAGTTTCAAGGGTGGAGATGGAGGGCAGCATGGGAAACTGGCTGCTGCGGGAGTGGCTTTTCCTGAGGCCTTCCCAGAAGGTTAGTTCCAAATCTGGAGTGTGTTTAATGGTTAGCCCTGCTAACCGAGCTCCCTTGTTTAGATGCTGTGTGTGTTTGGTGAGACAGAGAGACAGAGCGTGTAGGGAGGCAGGGAGAGGAAAAGAGGGAGAAAGAGGGAGAGAGGTGGAAGGGAGGGCAGTGCCGAGGGAGGCGGAGAGACTGAGGCCCCTGCAGCATGTGTGGGTCCTGGAATCGTCACAGCTGAGTGCTTGAGGCTGGAAGGCTGCCCCCAGCACACACACCTCAGTGCAAGCCTCGAGGTGCCTCTGGAGGCATTATTTTTGTATGAAGCTTCAATATCTCAAAGGCCTGTGTTCTGGCTCAAAACTTAGCTATCTGAGAATCTCCTGTGTTCCCAGGGGCAGGTTTCCCAACCTGCCAACATTTCACAAAAGAACAGTGACCTTGTTGCCTCCCTCAGATCTTCCTGATGAGAAATGCCGGGGAGCAACAAAGACAGAACTCATTTACTGATGGATCGAGACGCACAGGCCCACTCAGAGGGCTCTTCTTCCCTGCCTCTTACAGATTCCTGTAAGCTGTGAAGAGTGCAGCTTCAGAAGGATAGTACTTTAGCTCAGAATGACTTGTTCTGAATTAAAAACATACATAAGAGAAATGCTTTCAATTTTTCACCATTGAGGGTAATGCTTGCTGTGGGTTTGTCATATATAGCTTTTATTATGTTGAGGTATGTTCCTTCTATTCCTGCTTTCTGGAGAGTTTTAATCATAAATG